TTCCAATAACCTTCTGTTTGCATCAATCCCTAACTTGCTCACTTTTTACCTAAATGAGACTGCAACCTCTGCAAGGCAGATTTGAGTGGTGTATAGGCTTGAATCTGACTGCAGTGGGCTGAGGACACAGTCCTATTAAAAGTAAAAACAGGTGGTAATGGATACTGTGGCATGTGGCATGAAACCTGTACAAGGACGCATCCTGCTGGATACTGCCTGTATTAGGAGCTGCATATCACTGCATCATAAACTAGATATACACTGAAAAGGCTGTTACCAGAGTGTAAAGATTAACTTGACACAGTCTGATCAGGTAGTTCAGACATAACTTCAGCTCTGTGCTCTGGTTCTGAATAGCCATCATGTTAAAGTTTTTACCAGTGTTTAAGTTCAATGTTGCCACTCCCAGAACAACTATTAAGACAGTCTTTTTGCAGAGACTATAACAGTTTTTATGCAACTGCTTAACACAACCAAGAGGACAGTTTCATTTTCCCTAGACCTGTAACGACTGCTCCCTGAAACTGACGCTAAAATTGAAAGACAGAAGCTTTCCAAGTCCGTGCTCCAGAGGTGAAAGAAAGAAGACACAGTTGAGAAGGGAGAGGAACTAAACTGACAAGAATAACTCCAATGCAAGTCAAGAGTAATTTCAGACCTGAAACAGGGACTATAGAATAAGAATTCAGTGGTACTGAAGAATATTTTCAACTTTAAATAAAGGTGGAAACGTAGTGTCTTTGTGTTGAGGACTCAGAACAACTGGGGCTGGAACGGTGTCAGATGATGCCCTAGCTCCTACAGGACTGATGCATTTCGGGAGTCAACGCTGTTCTACACAACGGATGAACATTAGATCTGTGCTGCAGGGCTGAACGTGTGACGTGCTCCGCCGTCAGACAAGCACTTTCAAAGACTCTTTCTGTTAATCACTGTTGTAGATGTTTCGGGATGTGTTTGAAACTGCACATAATCTCAGACAAAGGAAGACAAGGCAAGCAAATTTTGTACTTTTTCTGTCTTTCAGCAACTGGAACAGATCTTCCCAAACCCCCAAACCAGCTCTGCCATTCTGACTTGACAGAAGCTGCTCCGTTCAAACTCCTGCTTCCTTCATGCTAGCACAGCAAGGAGGAGGTAGTCAGTAAATGTGTACTCAAGTATTGTTCTTCTGACTTTCCTAAAGAATCGGGGTTTTTAAAATCTGTTTCAAAGGGACTTTGCTATGATTGAGAAGGTTAATGGATTTTAAACAAATAAATGAAAAATAGCAATTCTTCTTGAAAAATCTAAATCTACCAGGCATGAGTTCAGATATTTGGATAAGCATTCTAAAAAAGCTAACAAAGAATAACTGCACTTTTGAAAGTACCATGTGCAACTTTATAATAATTATGCATTCATGGGCAACTTTCCCAAATTAAAACAGTGTGAATCCAACCATTAGAAAGAATTCAGGAATAGCAAACCAAAGCTATTTGCAAATGAACAAACCAACCATACCAGTGTTTTTACTCCTTAGTACGTGCCAACCTTGAAACATCCCACTAACGCACACAGTGGAGCTGATACTTCAAGAAGTTTTTGTTTCACGCTTATGGTGGGTGCAAAGCCACAAATTAAAAGAGCATGGGGCAGACAAAAATCATTCTAAGCAATCCCTTATCAGCATCTTTGTAACATAAAAAAAAAAAAAACAAACAACAAACCCAAACCGCCCTATGGTGGGTTGTGGAAACAATGTGGCACACGTAAGACAGGAAAAGATTGTATGAACAGAGACCGATTTGCACATACTGTGCTGTACCCACATTACCAATTTAAGGACCATCCCTTGAAGTTATGGAAAAGGGTAGAAGCGTTCTGAGCCAAAAACAACTTTGAGAAGGTATTTAGTCCTTTTTTTCTCCCTTTAGATACTTTTAAGTGACTATAAATCCTGATAGAGTGGTCAGTAGTATGTATTTCCTCTCTCTCTCTCACAAACACACAGACTGATCTTAGTATCGCTACATCAGTTTAAATACAGAGAGCATTATTCCTCCTCACTCACCTGTGCCTAACCATTCCTCCTGTATCTGAAGGTCTGTTTGGCAGCCCGCTTCTTGTATCCCACCAGTAACAAAGCTGCTTCAGAATTAGGTAAGCTGTCATCGGTCCTGGGGATGCTCAAGGCATAAAAGTCTCCAGTTCACAGTTCAGAGGCTGTACTTGCCTTACAGGGCTAACACTCATGTCCTTAGAGACTTGTACCGGGGCAAATGGGAAGCAGAGATCTTGAATAAGCAAGAGCTGTCCTGAAGCTCATTATTTTCTGCCATAACTGCACTTTAAATTGGGAAGCATGGCATATAGAACTTCTTTTCCTTCCTTATTTCTTAAAAATATTCACCAATACTCAAGTATTTCAGGGACCACCCCACTCTGATGGATGCACATATACCTCCTATTTATAGCTTACCTGACTTCAACCAACCAACCCACCCTGTGTAGATACCTATTTTGTATGACTCTTTGGTAGAGAAAACAATTTTTATTTTAATCAGTGCTTTTGACGATGACTGTTGCTGCACCATAGAAGGAGATGACAAAAGCCTTTGTTTTCCTAACTGACTGCTGTGTGTATGTAAAAGGCTGTCTGGGAGATACTGTGAGATTTCTGTTTGTTCTTAATAAAATGCAGTTATCGTGAATTAAACTGTATTATTCTCAGAATGAAAAAAAACTATTTTAAAAGTCAAAATAGTCTTGATATGGACAAAGATTGTGTTTCGTATCCAGGCACATACCTAGTGCAAACCTGCCCTACTCTGATTCCTTATTTCTCTCTGCTGATCTTCTCTCAGCTTTAGTGGATGACTAGAGTGCACTCCCACGGGCACAGGATGTTCACTCCTTCAAAAGATGGCTAAAACAATCTTCCAGACTTCCTCCTGTGACACAGCTACTTGGTCTTGCATTTCTTCAGTGCATGTTCTTCATGGGATTTTTACAGCGTAGTCAATGTTCTCAGCACGCTCTTAAGCCCAAGACTCTGTCCACTCTGCTGAGACATAATTTATTTTCTGACACGTTCTCCCCATGGCTCAGCGAGTCTTCCTGCTGCTGTAGTGCTCCTCAAGGGCCTTGACCATTTCTCCTCCCCGTGAAGAAACACAACCTGGCCAAACCACACCCCGAGCCATACGCAACTCAAGCATACCACGTGGTTCTTAGTCAAAGGACCTCCACCGTAGTCATTTACACAGTCATGCTCCCAGGGCCTGCCGCCCTTGTTAACAGCCAATTTCTGCCCCTGCCCCAATGCCCGCCCTTCCCAGTTCTGCCTGGACTTGCAAGAGTTTGCATCAGAGTGCAGCTTCACGAACTGCAGAGACCTACCAACTTATATTAGGGCAGCACTGGAATTAAAAATCTGGCCAACCCCAACATTTAAAGTATTCATGATAAACGAAACGATAAAAAATGAAGTAACCTAGACAACGTTACTCCAAAGCCAGTGTCACATCCCCAAGCTGCTGCCTTTCAGTTGGACAACCAGAATACTTCCTGTGACATGAGCTAACCTGTGTCTTTCAAACTTCATGGCACCGTGAAAAAAAAAAAATAAATCACCTTATCTCTACCATATTGCATGATGGTATGTTGCCACGTTTTAATTACAGTTCATGTAGGCAAGCATAGTACAACTTTGTATGCAAATTAAGCATGACCCCTAGGCTCCTGCCAGCTTGCTTGTTTAGCTCTTGTTTTGACATTTCAATTGTCTCAGTTACGTTACTAAGGACTCACGGAAATAAAAGAGAGAAAAATACCAGCTAAAGTTAGCTCATCAACAAAGAAGAATTTCCCAACCTTGAGTTACTCCTGAGAGCACAGACCAATAAAACTTTATTCACATAGTCATTACCATCATTTTCAACAACACATTTTCCTCACGTTCTCAGAGCGATCGATGTGGCCCTTTTAATGCCGCATCTTTTCCATGTCCTGTGTCACCATGCCCCTGCCCCATTCAGCAATGGGTCCACATTTTCCCTGTCCTTCTTTTGCTATTTACATAATTATAGAAGCCCTTCTTGTTGCCTTTGACATCCCTCAACAGATTCAACTTCAGGTTGGCTTTGGCTTTCCTAACTGCATCTCAGAGAGCATTGCTGTATTCCCCCCAGCTTACCTGTCCCTGCTTCCGCCTTCCATATACTTCCTTTTTGTGTTCGACTTTTGCCAGGAGCAACTTGTTCATCCTTGAAGGCTTCCTGGCATTTTTGCTTGACTTGCTGCTCATTGGGATGGACTGTTCTTGAGCTTAGAGGAAGTGATCCTTGACTATCAATCAGCTTTCCTGGACCCCTCTTCCCTCTAGGGCCCCATCCCATGGGACTCTTTCAAGCAGATCCCTGAAGAGGTCAAAGTCTGCTCTCCTGTGTTTATTTCATTAAACATAATTGAATGCAACAGTATATTTTAATTTTCTGTTATTTTCTTTCTGAAATTCTCCTGTGGATCCGGAAATTACCATCCCAGCCGACATGTCAGCTTTGGTATTTAGAGTGGTATATGCTTTTTTCAAACAAAGGGTTAAATAGAAACAAAAAAATGCATATTTTTGGCAGTCCGGCCAAGGTTACATTATAAGTTTATCATAATTTTCAGATCCACAAAAGAGTAAACATTTGATGCATGTTCTTGCCTCCCTTTGCCCTATTTCCCCATAATTCTTTTCTGAAGAGGCAAGGAAAAACCTTTTCTGTCTGAGTCTAAAAAGTTCTGCTCGCCGGTCTTCATAGCAGAAGATTTCGAGGTTCGCTTCTGTGCTTGAGCTGACATTTTCTGTAACAACTCTGTGAGTCTGTGCGGGCCTTTAGCCCTAACATCACTGTACTGCTGCACCACTTTCTACTCATCGAATTAAAAAAAGCCATGGGGCAGTTTTGCTTGCTTTTCCATGGGTCTCTGAGTCCTGCTGCAAGTTTGCTGCCTTGATTTTTTTTTTTTTACTATTTTATTCCACTTGATTGTGGAGCTGTCCTCCTCTGCTCCAGGATTTCTTGACAACTTTTGTACACTTCTATCAAGCAGTCCAGACGTGGCTTGGAGCTCTAGAATTTAAGTCAAACAACAGAGAATCAGGCTCTGAACTGGCTGTAAAAGAGCTGGAAAACTCTAACTTCCCACTAGTGAGACTGTCAGGCAGAGAAAGGAATGTGGAGACAGCCGACACAAAGCTGACTACCAATCAGAAGCACGCGTGCGTAAGGAATGCTGTAGCAAGATACCTGTAGCTGATTAGTTTTCTCACATTAAGTCAACGGAGAATAGATTTCCCTTTTACATGTTCGTTGAGAAATAAACCATCAAACTCCAGGAGGTGTTTGATGTAAGCTAGTGATATAGGGACGCAAAACCATTCCATAAGCCATACCTGCTTTGTGATGAAAAACTCCAGTCCCTAAAGCTGTCAGGTCAAAACACGCAGCATCATTCTGCAGTTAGCCTGAATCTCTCACCAAATCAGAAATCCTCCTCTTTCTCAGCTCACTGTTCACAGTGACAGCATGGAAGAACATCCACACTTCCCAACCCATTAACCCATCTGTCAGGCCATACTCCCTCTCGAGACCTACCAAACAGCAGATTTCCATACACTAATCCACCACCCTAGAAGACCTCCACCCTGAAAAATCTACCTTCAGGACAGGGAATTTGGACACCTGGCCCTTGGCCTCTGCTTGTACTGTCAACAACAGGACAACGGAAGGTTAACTGAACAAATCAATTCATTTCACACAAACAGCGAATGGTGGTCAAAGTATAATGATTTTCCATCACTTCTAACCTGGACCAGATTAAAACCAGCAAGGAGGTGAAAGTTTCCCAGTTCCACAGTCCCTATGGTCCCATGACTTTTGAGCTCCCAAAACAGCATTACTGTGTAAAGTCCATCAAAAACGCCTCTCCTTCTAAGTGTTGCCTAAGAGAACAATAGGTCAGTTCAGCACAGAAGTGCTCCTGGGCTCAGTGACACGGTAAATTGTATTTTTGAAGGCTAACATAACAGAGGAACCCAATGAAGGAGATGCAACAAAGTTACTAATTACTGCTCCTTCAAAACTAAGTAACATACTAACTTGCACGTTAAAGTGAGAATTACTGACAGGTAATGAATTGCAAACTGACACAGCTCTTTCTGTACCTCCTTTGCTGGTGGAGTCAACTCTACCAATACTAAGGTATTTCCATGAAAATAAAACTGTTCGGAGTTGAGCTAGGGGAAAAAAGAGAAACTACACAAATTCCAGGCAGCTTCTTTGAAGCTGGAAAGGAGCTTGTATAACTAAAACCAGGTTCCTGATTGCAGCTCTCTGGAATTTATTAGTTGTTGATTTCCAGCAAATCCATTTTTTTCCCTTGACTATGTGTGAAATACTTCATTTATATTATTGTTACTAAATGTCTTTACAATTGTGGGACTGAGTTAGCAGCAAGTATCAATGGAATAGTCTATTTATACCCATAAGTATTTAGCTGAAGACCAACTGTATCCAGTCATAAACTGGATGTGGACTACAAAATGATAGTCACCAGCAGCAGGTGAATTAAGAAGGACAGAGAGGGCTATAAACCTCAGCAGTCTAAGATGTGAGGTACCTCTGTACTGCTTACCACCACTCAAGGATCAGGGCATTGTTGTGTTAGGCATGCACACACAAAAAGAAAATCCATCCCAAAAATGGGGTTATAAACAGTCAGAACAAGTTAGCAAGAGAAGAGAAAGGGGAGACAGGGTAACGGTAAAGCAAACAAGTTATTATACATTAAGCAAATGGCTCACAGCTTGTACTGTGATCTTTGTCAACGGGTGAGACAGGGAAAGTCATTCTAATGCCAAGGAGGTTTTTATGAGCACTTTCGACACACAGAGGTGAGAGAAAAATCAGCTGCAGCCCAATGCCATAGTTATGATGGTAACACTGAGCATAAGACTACACAGAAAGTTGTACGAGTCCTCAGTACCCTACGTAAGCCAAAGACTTCTAGTTCATGCAGGCTCCTGGTTGGGGTCAGATTTACACAGTTCCCTGTTCTTTTAATGGAGGGCAAATGAAAAAGTACATCCCTGGTACATAGTTCTACGAGGCTTGTAATACCACCCATTCCACAGCACTGTAAGACCTACCCTGAAGGCCCCGTCAGGGAAAGGCAACTGTAATGGGCTACCCCTAGTGGAATAAAGGTATGCTTAGACAACTGGCGCACACACAGAGACGAAAGATCTGGATTTCTCCACCATTCAGTCAAACTCACCTGAAAGAGTGGCACAACCTCAGATACTCCCTGAGGATCTCCAGGGTCCTGGAGGAGGATGCACAGGTAGTAGATAACTTTTTGCTACAAGACGAACAGACAAAATCATCAGAGTTTGAAAATGCTATCAAAGTGCCTGGAGTTACCATAGAAAGAGGATCTGTTTCAAACTCACTGGGCTGAAGGCCAGTCACCCCAGGCCACAGTCAAGTCTACAAATTTCTATCTATAGCTTTCCTCCCTTCACACAATAAAAAATCATTTTACCTGTGTTTTTTTTCTATTAAATTTTTAACCTGAAGAGAACACACACATGCTGGAAGAGTAAGGCCTGCTTTTCTACAGGAGCTTTGCAGAAAACTCCAGCAATAGGAAAAATCGTCTCTTGTGTTGCCTATCTCCTTATCTCTGTCTTGACTACTTACGGAGTTTGGCATCAGGATTTGTAAGAACAATACAACACAAAGAGCTAAAACCACTAGCTCAGTGTCAGTGGCATCTAAGGGGTGGATTTGGATTTTTCAGGTTATTTGTTTGGCTTGAATTCTCCTTTAAAGGTGAGAGAACAGATAAGAGAATAAAGAGAGAAATCAGAAACAAAACTCCTGATGTCAGTAAAGCTACGGATGGTGCTGTGTTTAATTGCTCTGGTAAATCATGCTCATGAAAATACACTGGATGTGAGTGCGCCCACAGATACACAAGAAGAAAGACTGTGTATGATTACCATATGAATGGCTTCATTGATAACCACATCCTTCACTTGACCCATCTCAATCGAGTGAGCCGATGACCAATAGTGATTCCTGGTCAATTTTCACAAAGTGCAGGTATATGATCAGGCCAATCAGCGTGATGAAGATAGCAGCAGAAAGCACCATACTATTCTGTAACACAAGCCAAGCAAAGACAGAGCTCTGGTCTTACAATTAATTGAACACGGCTATAGAGAAAGTAATATTGCACAGTAAATTATAATATTAAAGCTACAGTTACAAGGCAATTTTACTTAGGTGGAGTCCTTTTATTCACCTGGCTGGCTGATATATGTGTAATGAGGTTTAAATCAGTCTTCACAGTATGGTCTGAAAGAATTGGGAGCTGAAACTGAAAACTGCAAGAAAATTCCATTCCCTTGTAAATTTAGTGCAGAAATCTCAGCCAAACCCAGCTAGTTACATCAATGACAGCGTATTATACAAATGTCTATAGAGACAATGTCACCGACAGAGAAGTGCTGTGAAATGTTTAGTATAAGTGAGGGCGGAGTCTCGGAGGGGAAGAAAAACCTTTCAGGAAAAACCACTGGGCTAGTTATTTTCTTCTTATGAACTGCAAGTCTAAACTTGTTCAAACCTCATCTCTTCCTGCCTTAAATACCAATCTAAAGAACATTGGTTTTCTCTTGTGCTTTGTCAGAGGACGAATGCCTTTTGCATGCTGCAATCTTGGGACTGCTGTTACATAAAATATATAACTGATGAAACTATAGTCAACAGTAAGTCATCTGAAGACCTGGTAATAAATCCTAAAGGTCCACAAATACAACCTATTTCTGGTTCATGTTTTAGACAGCTCTGGGCTGCATACCCATAAATCAAAGTTATAAGTGACACTTCCTGAAGGACCAGAACGGCATGGCCCTACTACTCAAGCTGGGCCTGTACCACCACGTGAGGTAAAGAAGCCATGGCCACATTAGAACAGAAAGGATACAGGGCTCCTCCAAAAGTTTGTCAACATGGAAAAAAAAACAGTCATGAATTACAGACACCAAAATCCACACAGAGAGAGATTTTCAGATCTGGTTTCCTGGCAGAAAGGAAGGATTGCAGTCACTTGTGCACAAGCTGCATGAGCATGTGCAAAACCAAGCAGGAGGACAGTGGGTGGTAACCACTGGCTGGGGTCTATGCTTTTGTAACAAATAAACCTTGAATACAGCTTCCCTTCCAGCTAGAGGAATGTGAACCATCTTTTTGTATCGGAAACTTGCCAACTGACTCAGGTTGCAATCTCTGTCTTCATTCCTTGGGAAAGATTATTGAGAAAATTGAAGTGCAACAGTCATAGTGTTGGTCACAGTGACCGGCTTCTTCAGTCAAGCTACTGACTTCAGTCTGGAGATAACTGCTCTGGGTCTACAAGTTGGTCCTTCCATGCAAGTACGGGTCACAGATCAGATACCTAAACTAAAACTTTTGGATTTATCAGCAGCTTTTGGAATCTGTACTGCCAAAGTCTTACTGCCTCAGCTGTGGAACATGAGCAAGTAGATGACATTCATGGTGCAGTGGTCTCTGAGTCACTCAGGAAAATCCCTGTGGGGATTAACAATCGCTCACCTTCTTCAATATATCATAGAATCATAGAATGGTTTGGGTTGGAAGGGACCGTAAAGATCATCTTCTTTATTCCAGATTCCCGCAACTCATCTCTCCAAGTAAACACCTGTTATTTGGACTCACAAAAATGCGCTAGGCATCACTCAACACCCATACGTACATCTACCCTCTCTGGCAAGAGGCAACCAACGGAGGCATCCGAGAAGCCACCAAGAGCAGCCGAGCCGCAGCGTGTGGGCCCTCAGACACTGGCTAGCACAGGTCTCTCTTTCACCACATGCTCATCACCCTCTACCACCTCGGCGTTCCCAGGGCGTGGAGCAGGCCCAGGATACGCCGAGGCCGCCTTTCCACTGGCTGTGGCCACCTTCCTTGGCCGGCGCTGCCCATGTCCTGGGAGCAGCTCGGCAAAGGCTGCGTGGCTCCCTGCAGGCCGGCGGGCTTTGGGGACACTCGCTGCCACCCAGCCTCTCGGATGCCAACCACAGCCCCCGATCGCCCCCCGGTATTTCCGCGGGGCGCAGCC